GGTGGGCTGGCTGCGGGACCCCACCTCCTCCTGTCCCCGTCCTCGGCAGCGTGCTGCGCGCTGTCTCTTCCTGCGCGTGCCCTGGCACGCACGGTGTGCTGAGTTTGGACCCAGGGGGTCCTGCTGCAGGGCCGTGGGGTTCGTCCTGGTTGATGGTCACATTAGGACAGGACAGTGTTGGCTGCTGACTTGCAGTGATAGCTTCACCCTTTCCCAGAGGAGACCAGTCCAGAGCATCCTACCTGGCCTGCCACTGCCACGTCCCCGGAGCATCTCAGCTGAGGAGGAGATGAGCAGATAGATTGACCAGTGGGATTTAGCTGTGCCACCCAGGAGCCCTTTCAGACCCAAACTAGTTGCTCCAGCAGCTGGCACGGAGCCACAGTGCCCTGGCTGCAGCCGATGGCTCCACGGGTGCCCCTCCTGCCTGTGGGGACCTTGGCCATCACGGCACGGTACGGCACCGTGTGAGCGAGGACGAGAGGCACGGAGGGACAGAGCCTGCCGGCTGGCACACTGCCACAGGCGCCTTTCACCGGGGAGCCCAAGTTCCCGTTTGTTCCCGTGCCGTGCCTGGAGTTTGGCTCGGCTTGGCTTCAGGACTGACCTACTTTGGCTTGACACATATTTCACGGATGCCGGCACAAATCCAGGTTTGCCTGTGGGCCAACACTAATTGCTCCGGAGAGGGAGAGGATTGGGAGGAAATGAACTTAGAAGGGATGCTCCCCCGCCTTTCCCCAAGCTCCCCCTACACTTGGATTCAGAGTAAGAACCCAGGCTTTAAAAAATAACATCCAGAGGAGCAGTGGGGCCAGGTGCCTGCTCGAGCTCTGGGACAGACCTCCTTGTCTGTCCTGCTCCTCGTTGTTGGCCTTGGTTTTCAAAGGACCCAAGGGATGATGCCCTATGACATGGGCCAGTTTGAGCAGGGCGCACAGAGGCCTCCCTGCAGTGTTGTCCCAGGAAGAAATCTCTCCTCAGTCCACAGCACACGTGGACTGAGCTCTGTGTGCACCTCCTTTAAGCCCTCGGCAGCGTGGTGGACTATTCTGACCTTCTTCTGGCCTTCAGGTCATAGGATGTCTTTGCTCTGTGATTTCCCCACGGTGCTTTGGCTGCAGAGCCCTTGCAGGCAAACAGCGGTTGCCACCTTTCCCAGGGGAGCTAATGATACACGAAACGCTCACCAAGGGCTCCTGTCCGTAGCGCTGGATCTCCAGAGATGGAATGCTGGTCCGTGACCCTTCTTTAGGGGTCAGGGTACAGTCAGGATTTTCCAGGAAGCCCAAGAGAAGTTGATGTGTCCCATTGGATTAGGTCACTGGTGTCAGGACTGGTGTGAAAGGAGGAGAGACAGGACAGAAGCACAGGTTTGGTTTCCTGTGCCATACCATTTCTGTTGGAAACACCAGACAGGACACACAGGTCAGATAAGCTCATCACGAGGCGCGTTATTTCCCCAAGATGCAGATACCAGACCGTTGCTTTCTCGTACTAATCCCTCCACACCCTGCACTATTTTCCCCCTGCCGCGGTGTCTGAGCACCTTGGGAAGGGCATCAGCTGATGGACGAGCAGCTCTGCAGAGCTGTGATCGAGCTGCAGGGATGCCTCTGGTTTTCTGATGTCCCTCGAGCTTTCCACTTGTTTTGTTGAAGAGCTGGATCAAGTCTGTCCTCCGCAGCATCTGCCCAGGTGCGATGTTCTCCAGCAGCTCTCTGCACTGGAGACCAGGTCTCCGTGTTGCACCTTCCCGCGCTTCCTGGTGCCTTTGATGAAAACGGGCTTGTGCCAGTCCCCAGGACGTGTCGCTGCCAGCATCGCACGGGGTTGGTAACACAGCAGCTCTCCGCTTTTCCCGGCTCCAGCCTGAGCCTCCTCTCCCAATAGCAAGAGGCAAGTCACCATGGAAACATTCACCTGGAAATGCTCTGCTCAGAGGACGCGTGGTTGGGGGATTCAGCACAATCAAACCGCCGGGATCTATCCTGGGGATTTTTCCATGCGGGATTTTTCCATCTGGGTTTGCAGCGCTGCGGCGAAGCACAGCAGCACTGCTCCCCAAAACACCGTCCTCCTTCCCCACAGCCGTGCAGGTGACCGTACCCCGGCCACGGTGTGCCCGGGGTGCGGAGGCTCCATCCCCGGCAGGATTTGTCCCGGGTGCTGAGGAGCCGAGGTTCAAGCGAGGTTGAGTGCCTTGGAAACCAGGAATCTAACCAAGTACTAAAAAGAGGAGGAAGGTGAGGAAAACATTTAAGTAGAGATGAGTGCAGATGTTACTGCCTTCTAGGAGCTGTATTAAAATGTAAATTATAGTTAATGTCATCTTCCAGGGAAGAAAAGCTCTTGAAATAAATTTCCTATTTTAAGGTAGTAGTGAGCTGCTGTGAGTGCACGGCAAAAGTCCTTTTTATAGGCTGTAATTAGCAGCCAGGTTCTGGCTGTTGCCTCCTTTGGCACCTAAAGGAAGAAAAAGGCGTTTGATAAAAACCATCGCAAACAAAACATATGGAGCTGCCCAAATCCCCTCGCCAGCTGAGCCATTAGCCCTTTCTCAGAAGATGCCACCGTTACCCGCATAGTTTCAGGAGAGGTTTGTAAACCATCTACGCAGAATTCATGGCAGCCTGGTTTTCCTGGCGATCGGGTGGATCCTGCAAGCTTTTTGAGACCTCCGGAGGCTGCCCCTCAGCCCAGCCCAGCCTCGTTTGCTCGCACGAGTCGAAGGCTTGAGGACCTTCCAAATTTTGCTTTCAACTGTCTTCATCAAAATACTCTTCATCACTGGGGTAACAGGGAGCTGAGGTACCCCAGGGACTGGAAGTCCCTGATGCATGAGGAGAACCAGAGGATGCTTCAGGCCATACGGAAAACTCGTGGGCTTCGCTGGCCCCGCTGGTTTCAGACCGTGCCTTCAGAGGTGTGGGGGATGCTTATGTCTTGTTTTTAAAACCTGTCGTTTCGCTAATCGAAGCAATTCACGGAGTCTCCCTGTTCCTGTCTGCATCCCACGGAGTCTCCCTGTTCCTGTCTGCATCCCTTTTTTCTTGTGTGGAAGCTGTAAAGCCCCGAAGCCCCGCTAGGTCCCGACCGAAGATCCCTCCTCTTGCTTTGGAAACAGTTTGGTGGTGAAGGGAACCATGGCTTTCTGCTCTCAGCTTGCCTGCTGTGTAGATGCTGCGATTAAACTGCTGTTTCATGCTCTAGTTCTCCAGGTGAATAGGTGCTCGGTCCCCAAAGGGGATCACAGAGTTACAGAAGGGCAGGATCGCTGCGTTGGGTGCAGTTTCGGAGCACCTAGAGCAGGCTGCCTCCAGTCGGGGTTTGGATGTCTCCAAGACTGGAGACTCCACAGCTTCTCTGTTCTGGTGTTTGACCACCTTTATGGGGGAACAAAAAGCTTTTACTTATGTTTAAATGCAATTTCTTGTATCTCAGTTTGCACCCACACGTGTAAAGATTTACGTAGCCTCAGTGACAGCCTGCAGCAAGCGCTTCCACTCCGGACCAGACCTTTATTAGCAGGGATAATCTGCCAGGAAGCTCGGTAATTAATCAGCCTGGAGCTGCCTGGCGCTGGCCTCACCTCACCCTGCTGCCGGGGAGCGGGCAGGGCGGAGGGGCAAAGCCGGGGCTGGCATCTCCGTGTCGAGC